GGGGGGGGGGGGGGGGGGGGGGGGGGGGGGGTACTTCCAGAAAAATTGGGTGGGGGTGTGCAGCCCACTTCCCAAATTATTTATTACCAAAATCTGCAATAGTTCCTACCCTATTTATGACTTGGCCAAAAATTCGAAATCCTATTTATATCCTAGCCCTTAAATCAAAACCCAGTTCAGACCAACGTTAAATTACTGGAGACATAATTGTGAAGGGTTTTTGTTGATTTTCTTTTTGATAATGATGAAAAAGTGGCTTCTTCTCAAAAACATACCATATCAAGGCTAGAGTGCAAAAACCATACCCTATTTATGACCAAAAAGGCCAAAATCAGCTAAAATCGATACCCTATTTATGACCAAAACAGTTGAAAAACCTTTGGGGCCGCACATACCTATATAGCCCATATAAGGGAGTACCCCCCTGGGACTCAGACCCTATCCTCTCCACAACAGCAACAGCCACTACATCATCTCCCAACTGCCAAAAATAACCTCTGTCAGTCACAACAACATCCAGGTAATCAACTGACAAAAGTGCAAACAAAACCCAATTTTAACTTTTCTTACGGTCATGGAGCTTGATTTAATTTGTACAATGCTTGTCATTGTTCTCTCTTTTTTTTGGTTTCTGTTTTATTGATTGGTAATTTTTTCAGAATGCTAAAGGTGTCTTTGATCATGCTGGTAATAATTAAAAAACATTCCTCAGTAAGAATGAATCTCACCAGTTTGTGCTATGGCACCAGCAACAGCTCCACATGAGAGTTTGACGACAACAGGTAAGTCTTGTTCATGTGTGAGCACTCTTAACTTGTGTCCACCTGCCTCAGCATGGTAGTAGGTCATCACATAGCCTACAGCAAAACAAAAGTTACACCACACTACAGTTAGCATAAATCCCTTGTGTACAAAATGTTTTACAAAAGTCAGAGCTGACTTGTGACTGACAAAGGAAACAATCATGCCACCACATTCTTACTCGTGTCATGCCATACCTTTTAAGCTCTCATAGACTGCAAAATTCATTCCTATGTAAGGTGCTATCCCCTATAGAATGCAAAAGAAAACATAATAATCATATTAACTAAATAAAGAAGTATTATTTTTAATTAATGCTAATTACGAGTATCAACTTATTTAAATAATATTAATAATAACTTATGAGTATCAACTTAAATTAACTATAATTATTTAAATTGATAACAATAATGGAATGAATGTCGATTTTTATTTAATTTCTGATCCAACAAAAGTTATTGCACTTTGCATGATGATAATGTGTACAACTGTAAAATGTTCAAAACAATTAATTACTAAAATTTTTAAAATTGAATTAGAAATATTAAAACATGATCCATGTCTATCAGTTGGCAATCATTCTCTTCTACATCTTCAACAACTGTATTATTAGATGTAATATTAAACACTTCCTGCACCTACAAGCTGAATGTGCCACTTAAGTCCCTCAAACTGTACCCTTATCACTTACTGAAGGGTACAATTAGTTATAAATTAGCCAGTGCCTATATATACGCAAGGGGAGGGGGGGACACCCAAAACAATCGTCATACCTTTCAGGGGTTAAAAAAGTAGTGTTAGTTAAGACCTCTTAGGGTGTTCAGCCTTAAAAGGTCCACAGCAAGAGCTTTTGCTGTACCTTTTAGGGTATTGAGCCAAAAAAAAAAAAATACCGCAGGAGAAAACCTCTAAAGGATTCTTTCCAACATTTCCGACAATCACCCCTGTTCTTTTTATATGGGAGTCCACTGGGATATATACACCTGGGTGGAAGCATTGTAAGAGCATTCATAAGTCTCTTGCACAAGAACAGGACACAATGACCCCCACTGGTCGATCCAGAGTTTATTAGCCCACTGCGTCTTTCACATAGTGTATGTATATCCCTTTCATCCATGATTATTCAATTTTGCTTTCAATGTAACTCGCTTACTATAAGTGATGGTCCTAGTCCTCTAAATAGACATCCACTCAATAAGCCTCCTTCTTCTCTGACAATGGTAACACATGCATGTCGTATATTTCTAGGAAGTTCAAACATTCACCTGAATCAGTCTCTTAAAAAGGTGCTTGACAGTAATGATATACCTCATGCTTGTTAAGGGTGTCCAGAACATATGATACGAATCATTATATTTCTGATAGGAGGGAGAGGGGGTTGGGCAAGATATTAACCGAAAACATTAGCCACAAATAAATGGTGCAAAGAGAGAGACACAAAAGAAACAATTGTGTTCTGCAAAAATGTTAAATATTCATCGATGCAAAAATGTCTTTATGGATACAGAATTTACCTCACCAAATTCGATAATAATTAACTCTTTAACTCCCAAGATCTGATTAGTAATTCTCCTTTCCAGCTGCTATACATTTCCCCCAATTATTCTCCAGTCATATACTTTTTGTAATTTCTGTGATTTATTTACCTGCACCAGCACCCTCTGACTGATAATTTCATCTAATATTCTCTTCACCTGTCTGCTGAACAGTGAATTGATATAAGGAGAAGTTACATACTAATCACTTCTGGGAGTTAAAGGGTTAAGTGAAATCAAAATTAATGCTCATCTTGGATTAACTTTATTAATAATCAATAATGCTCTGAACAATAGAGCCAAGAACTTGGTAGTATTCAGTTGAATACTGAACCTGAAGCATGTACTAAACACTGTTTGCTTTTAGGTTACTTGAACCTGACATGCTAGACCAATTCCATTTAGTAATTTTGCAAGCTCACTTACACGAAAAGTCTAGACAAGTTATTTTCACCAAAGGTTGTTGCATCATTACTCTAAAATCACTGACATTTACTGGTGAGAGTGCCAAATTCTGGGGAACAGTGATCTCACCTATAGCGTCTCTCACTTCCTTCTCCTTGAACAGCTAGTCTTGTCCTTGGCAAAGAAAGAGTAGTGATATAAATAAATTACTGACAGTAGCTAAAAGACCCCAGTCCATCTGATTTTAAAACAAATAAATAAAATTTTAAAAAATATTGTACGAAATTACTGAATTACTGAACTTCTAATTATTTACTACATGTAGGTGGCTGGTGTGAAGCATGAAGTAACCTGTACCACTGGTTAGAAAATTTTAAATTGCAATGCATTTCGGCCATTACAAATAACCAGCTGCAGTTGTAAACTGTGTGTAGTTCTTAGATTTCATTGTAATTGCCACCATTGCTGTTATAGTTTTTTATCAAAAGGTAAAACATTAAATTTTATCAGGGACAGATCCAAAAAATATACAAAAAGTTAACAGTCACTATGACGGCACAACCTTGCCCATACCCACAACACTAGAAATATTCTAGATACTAGGTACAATACCACCCAAAAGACAGTCTGATACATTAAAGGGAGAGGAAGGACTGTGGCCCTCTCTTAATAGACCCAAGATGATTGTAGATGGTGCTTTTAAAATTCTAGTTACAGTTGAACCTCGATTATCCAGACTCATTGGGACTAGGCAAAATAGTCCGGATAACTGAGGGTCCAGATAATCGAAAATATGAATATTAATGAAGAACAGAATTGATTACATTAAGAAAGCAACATTTAATCGGGAAACAACACATTTACAAATCGTTTAGAAAACAATTCAGTGGTCTACATCTTCACTGTCCATTGTTAATACCTGTACCCGTGTGTATTAATAATTTATATTAGTGAAAAATGTTTTTACATTGGCCTAAAATGTTGCTTTTGTTTGCACTTTTCAATGCTGTAGTTTTAAAAAGAATATTGCTACGGATCTTGATCATGACTAATAAATATCCATGACAAAATTGGGACTAGAGAAAAAGTCTTGATAATCGAGAAATCCAGATAATCGAGGTATGGATAATTGAGGTTCGACTGTACTTTTCACTGCAACTAATTTAAATCTTTCACACTCTGATCATATGAAAATTCTGGGAAGTTAATTTACAAGTTTAAATCTTGGTTTAAATTATTAAGCTTTGGTTTTACTTACTACTAGCTGATCAGAGACCAGCTTAAAAGAAATCCTAGGGTGCTGCATTCCTATAAGTTTAATTTGCAACACATGAGGCCATTTTGTTCACTTACCTAATTAAATCAAGAGGATACGTGACAGTGGACGACACAATTCCTGCCATTGCTCCAGCTGTTAGTCGCATTATTGGGTGCTGTTCTCTTGTGTCTTCAGGAATTTTAAGTAGCTGGGTCAATGAATGTAATAATCAGGTTGGAAATTAAATTTCACATAAATTATTAAGTAAGATAAATTTATATTTATTTCGAATGAACTTTAGGACAAACATTATAATTATAATTATTGTTCAGTTCCAGAAAATATCCATACTCCCCCCACAGAAGGGATTGGAATTTCCTGGGGGGTGGGGGATTCTGTAAGACCAAAAAATTTAAAGAAATGTATGAAGCTCAAGCGGAATTTCCTGAGGGGTGGGAGGGGGGGGACTTAGACAAATTCTCTTCCGTGGGGGAGGTATGGATATTTCTTGGAACTACACATTAATAATTATTAATAGTAAACTCTTACAGCTGGTTCTCACTAGCGCATAAGCATAAGCTGACATATGCAGATGCAGTAAGGTTTGATAATTAGCGCTTTTTGTTTGGAAAATTGCCAACAAAAGGTGCTAATGATCAGCATCTTACTGCATCTGCATATGTTGGCTTAACTGTTTTTTCTTATACGCTAGTGAGAACTAGCCTTTAATAGCTGAGCGCAAGGGCCATACTGAAAAGTATTGGCTCAAGGTTGTGGCAGTACAGACCAAGTGCAACAATTAGGCCCTTACAAACACGACCGAGAACCAATATTCTCCTGTAAGGCTCGAACAAGCTAAGTAAGTACTCATTTACTAGTTTGTTAATTACATGGCACTCGAAAACAAGAAAAACCACCTTAATGCATGGAAAACGGTCTGTATGGCAAAATCCCAACCAAGAAACAACCAATCACAATGCTTCCATTTATCTCAAGACTTTCTTGTGATAACTTTTAAATTTAAAAATTACTCTTTTAAAATTTACATCCATATCCAAATGCAATACTGTCGACTAGATTCCATCAAAAAAAGTGAAATTCTGTTCATTTGATTTGAAGAATGGATAAATTTATTTATGATCTGACAAGTAGAGGTGTTGATCCGACAATTGCATCTCATTGGCATGACTTCAAGATATAATTATTGAAGAACCGTTATGAAAGTTTTTGATTCACTCAATTTGATCAGATTGACAACTCTACTTGTCAAATTGTGAATAAAATTATCCATAAGCCAGATCAGTCAACAAGACTTTTGAACAAGGGACATGTGAATGCCTTAAACTCCATGTTAACGCTCAAGTCGCTAGTGGAGGGAAGGTGCCTATGAAGCCCGGGGACTGCAACCGCAGTCACATCTCCAAGGCGCTAGAACACCCGACTGGCCTGCCCAACCCGCAACCGAGCCACAAGCCCCCC